ATACATCAACTAGAAGGATGTGCAGCTATGACATACAACTATCTACTGGGGCTTTGGGGGGAAAAATAAATAAATAAAATCTTTTAAAAAGGAAAACAAAGGGCTAATGTATCAGAAAAGAATACATAAACTGAAACAGTTACAAGAAACGAGACTTTCATTTTTAAGTCATTGGTCTAAAACTTTGCCCAGGTTCCTTGTGAGATAGAAGCCATTATGATTTAATTATGGCTTTTGTATTAGAGACCCCTACCCCATGGAGCCTAGCCGAGTTAGGCACTTGTTAAGAGCACAGCAAATGCTAATGAAATAAATGAATGAGTGAGTGAATCTAATTATAATGGCTCTTTAATGTTCTGTGTGAAATAAGTTGTTGATCTAAATATCTCATTCCATATAAGCCACTGTTTACATAATAGCAACCACCTGCAGAGTCAGAAACCACTTAACCTCGGAAACCGCTGCTAACTTCCTCCTGGTCAAATCACTTTTTGCTGCTTCTCTTTTTTGAATTCGTTGCTGCACTTGATGCCACAGAAGATTCTTGTTTTGTTTTTTGTTTTGACCTTGTAATATTCTGCCTTTTTTCCCTTTTACTGCTCTTTCTGGTTTACTTTGCTGTTTTAATTTCCTCCTACTTTTCAAGTGTGGCTGCCCCCAAAGGCTTGCATTTAGCTTTCTGCTCTTAGATTTTGCTGACCTTGGAGGGATTAAATGTTGTGATCATCAAGCCTAACTCCTTGCTCTCTGGTTGAACACTTGAGTTGTGTTTTGATCACAGCAGCTTCCTTGTGTCCCCCTCCCACTCCAACACCCAAAAGCTTAGCATTCTGAACACTTAAAAATTCAAAAGCTACTCTTATAACATGTAGTCCATGGATACTGGGCACTCATTTGATGTTGACTGAACTGGCTGCTTCACCAGGAGTAAGGCAGTTTATGGGAATTAGAAGAAATGGACCAGTTGCTCTAAGAGTCATCATTGGCTCTACCAAACGCGTTTATCAGGTGACCATGAATTCTTTGGGTAAGATTGTCATACTTGATCTGATGGTGTTCTCATGACCACGTCCTCAAAGTTTTTATTAAAAAAAAATTGAAGTAGTGACTTGTAAAGACTCCTCTCTTCCAACAAGTTTCTCATCATCTTTTCTGGGAAAAGACGAGCCTAGTAGCAACATCCTCAAAGCAAATCACAGAATGCAAAACTTTGCACAGAGACTTTTTTCCTACTCAGTTTCTTCTCCCCCACAGGGGAGGTAAGAGAACTAGTGTTTATTGAGCACTTACTAATTGCCAGACATTGTGTAAGGTGCTCCAATCAACTACTCTCTGTGGGGAGGTAGTGCTATCCCCATTCTTCGGAAAAACCACGAAAAGGCTAAAGGTCGCACAGCTAATAACTTGCAGATCTATTTGAACTTAAATCTGTCTGACTCTGAAGCCCATGCCTCTTTCATTGAATTTTGCTGCATCTTAATAGCAAAAAGCCTCTGGGGATTATGTGACGCTAGTCCATAGCCAGAGAACAGAAGTAAGAAAAAAAAAAGATTCTCCTGCAAATGTTTTTTGATCAGTCTTGATTAAATATGAAATCTTTCAAAAGGAAGCCTTCATGAAAAAGTGTTCTATTTTCTCACAACATGCACTTGTAGGGTGTTAGCATACAATAAGTACATATTAAAAACAAACCCTGTTGTTACTCCCCACCCCCACAATATTATTGAACCAAAGAAATGATTACAAAGAGTTCATCACAGTTTAAACATGAACCCCTCCCATTTTCTTTTAAGCATTTTGTCACACAGTCGTATGCTTCCTAAAGTTTATGAGCTAATATTTCCTGTGTTACTAAAGATACTTCACAACACTTGGCTGCTTTCATAACATATTCCCTTGTGAATATCTTTAAATATTAAGTGGAAAAAACACCCCAAAAAACCAAACCTCTGCTACACAGACACACACATATGCTGGAGGCAGAATCACTCATCCTGTAGGCACAAATCCAAACGTGTGCTTTTGTTAACTGGGTTTGTTTGCACATGTGCACATGCGTGTGGATAATCTATCCCCCTACAGGATAGCAGAAATTTCTGAGTCAGCCAGCCCCCGGGGTGCACCCCAGGGTATCTAGGGAATTCAGAGCTGCACACCACCGCTCAGTGCGTCCTTGAATCCAGCCCAGTCACAGTCTGGCCCAAGCAGGGGAGCAAGCAACACAGGCCCTTCTTTCATCAAGTCTTCCTCAACCCCTACCCTGACCCTTCTTGGCCTCAACCCCATCC